TTCGTAAACGTGAAATGACTACATCGTTGTGACAGATGAAAACGTGAGCACTAAGTTTTTAATGTAAGTTGAATGAAAATATCAGTTGATTGTGGTCAAATACAAGCGAGTGTAACTAAACGCATTGCGTTTGTCAGCCTCCTCTCATAGAAGTCTATATCCACATTTGTTTAAGTGGTAACGAGTTGTCCTAGAAGTTGAATTGTCAGTGAGATAGATCTGTCGAGCCGTTTGCATGTGGATGGAGGAGTGCGTTTGGATCACTCAATTTCCAAAAGCGTCATTCTGAGTCTTCTGAGTGAGTCGTGAAAAGCATATTAGTTAATTGTTATTCAAGGAAGCGATACAAGTCAATGCGCCTGTAATCAAAGTGCTTACATCGGAAATATGTTTGTTATCTGAAGAAAACTATGAAATGCAGTTAGGAACTTTCACAATCTTATGCTTCTATCTAGCTAGAATAGTTTTCAATAAAACCCATTTAAAATGGATTAGCTACATCACCTATATTCGTTTCGATCAGTTTTTCTTCAATTCAGTGGCAAGCTTTTCGTGTCTGACTAAAGTGTATACTTTAATCGTTGCACAGATAGTTTGTGTCCTTGATGATGCGTAAACTGCCAAATAGCCATTCGAGAATGAGCTAATATGAAACATAGAAAATACGTGATCACGTGAATTCAATGAATATGTGTATTTGTTTGTCAATCCACAGAGGGAAATTAGAAAAACAAAAAAGATGAAATAAACAAGATCCACTATAATTTACGAAATGAAAAACAAGATGGTCATTGTTTTTAAAGTCAGATCATTAAAAAAAAATGTTATCTGTTTTATGTCTACGAAACTAAGACAATATTAGGAAAGACAGTGTTGTTGTCAGTACTGGCACTAACTGATCAATCAATTCAATAGAACGCTTTAATAATTTCAGCTGCGTTCATAATTAAGGATTTGGTGTATTCCACGCGTAACAGGACATCCTGTGGACGTAATGAATTTAACTGAACTGAAACTTCCATGAGATAGTCTTCATCTGGATTTTCTCCATGGACAATGAACATCTGTGTGGCAAACTACAAATGAAAACAATTGAAAACAATAACTGCAGAATTATGTATATGGTTGATTAAAGTGTCGACCGAGTCAAACACAGGCATTTTTTTACTGATATTCAGACAAAAATGGCTTACATCATTAACATACTACTATTGCAATGTGATTTCATGCATGGCACAGTAGGTTGAACAGGAATATAATTATTTTTTAGTCAACGACTAATGTGTGTGAATGTAGCTTTTCCCCTATAAATTATCTACTAGTAGGTCTTCAAATAAAAGTGACGAATTATTATCGGATTTGTAGGATAAAATCCCATCTTAACTCGCTTTACCATTAAATCATGACATATGACGAATGGAACGACAATGATTAAACACTGAATAGGCTTTCGGACAAGTATGGGGTAGTTTATCATTCGACTAATATGATGAGAGCTAATTTTATCATTTCACTGTGTTTAGATAACATTTGACATTTTAAACTTTGATAGGACCAATACCAATGAATTAAGTTACATTTCCTATGTTACCAAATAGACGCAGGGAAAGCCGGTTGATGAGTTATAACTGCAACTCCAGTGGTGTTTAATAATAGGAAGGTTGGTGATAATGGACAACTTCTGGTATCAACAATATTATCTACCAAAAGAGGTTTCATTGTTTATAACTGGCTGATTGAAGTTAACAAATAACCACTAATAATTATTTGTATGTTGTGATTTCATTAACTTACTACTAGTGTAAGGAACGAAGAACACAGGTTGGGCAAGCGAATTGTATTTAACGAAAATTACAGAGTTACTCAGTAAAATAGGAAAACCATATCGTAAATCGTTAATTTGCAAAATATCAGTTCATTATATCGAACTGGACTGTTCCTGTTGCAAAACATCAATCCACTGTCACTATTCATGCGTTCGTTTCATACAAATTCCATTGTTTTCTAACTCTCATTTTCTTGATCTTCCCTCATCTTCTGCTGCCAGACATTACGTTGACACTCACGTCATATACTACTTATAAGTAGCTCGCACCACACTATTAATTTGCTTGTTTTTGAGAAATCATTTCCTCAGTGCTAGTGAGTAGTTGTGATTGAGATTAGGCAATGATATCGTACTCATTAAATAAACCGTTCATTATTCAATGATCATTATCTGACACTACAAACTATCTGAATTTCAAAATGCCATCTGTAGCATTCATCCAACAAGCATTGTGTGTAACTATGTGTAAAATCAGTAGTATATTCATGCAGTATAGAAAATGAATATGATAACGGATGTATAATGGTCAAATCACGGAATGAAAAGATTTCTAATAGGTGCTCAAACATGTCAGTCATGAAAAATTACTAAACTGATGACAAATGACAACACAATAACCGATATTCATCAGATCAAGAATTTCTTGATTTTCCCTTTCGACTTACACTTCTCATGTTATAAAATGAACACATGGAGATTTTGGCCGTTCAAGCTTCAAACCTAAAAACAACCAAACAACAATGACACTACACTTCCATTGAACTCAACAACTGTTCAATCGGTCATTGTTCAATATAATTGACGTTTTTAAATGAGGTTTGTCTTATGTATTCCACAATGTTCGAAACTATTTGGCTTGATTTGAAGTCAGTATTAGAGAGTGAACTGTGTTTGATACTCCAGATTACTGAACATGTTACTTACTTACTTACTTACGGCTGTTACCCCCAATGGAGCATAGGCCGCTCACCAGTTTTCTCCAACCAACTCTGTCCTGGGCTTCCCTCTCCAATTCTGTCCAATGTTTGTTCATTCTTCTCATATCCTTCTCTATTTCTCGGCGTGGTGTGTTTCTTGGCCTTCCTCTTTTCATTTGCCTTGAGGGTTCCATGTGAGGGCTTGTCTAGTGACGCAGTTAGGTGCTTTCCGCAATGTGTGTCCTATCCACTTCCACCGCTTCTTCCTGATTTCCTTCTCCACTAGAATCTGGTTTGTTTTCTCCCACAGTACGTTGTTGCTGACGGTGTCTGGCCAACGAATCCGAAGTATTTTGCGTAGACAACTGTTCATAAACACTTGTATCTTCTGGATGATGGCTTTGGTAGTTCTCCATGTTTCCGCTCCATACAGTTGAACTGTCTTGAATATGTTACCTTCATATAAAACATAGGACGCAAACATCACTAGAAACAAAAAATACTTATTAGAAGAAATCCAAACGTGTATAGAGATGACCATGTAAAAAGTAGCGATATGTGCATAAGTAATGTGGAAACTGAACTACACAAACAAAAATTTTGTTTACTACGAAATATCTAAAAATAAAAAACACTGTCAATGAAACAACAAGGAAAAGTAAGATAAACAGCCAGTTATTATTTGCATAAATTTGATTGTCAGTTATTCTGAACACACTACAGTATACTACAATTAAGATGTAAATCAGTGCTGAGATTTGAAGTCAACATTCTGTTAAAATATTTTCTATGCTGAATAGGGATTGAGGTTCAATGATAGCGGGAAGGCACAAACAACTCAGAATATGTGACTACGTAGTGACTAGGATGAAATATGATCAATGAAGCGCATTCAGTTGATAATCAAATCACGATCAAATGAAATAGACTGAGGAGATAAATAGGTTTTCTCTCTGAATTAGAGAGATGGGAGTTCAGTTACAAAAATTACTACAAAGTAACAATGAAAGCAGTTCTCTTCATCAACATACGAAACAAGTTTCGGATGGATGATAATAACAACTGAATGAAAATTCAAAGGTTTAGCATTGGCTCATATTAGAGTAACACAGTGTTACACTGCATCGAAAATATATTTCGAAATATCTATAAAGTCTTCATAAGTTTATTTGCACAATTTTCTATAAAAATTTAGATGCAGTTTCATAACAAATTCGAATGGAATCCTTTTATTGAAGAACTAATAACTCACTTTGTAAATTTATCATACAATATTAGGACAGAGTGATGGAATCGTCAGTTCCAATTCGACAATGTTAGAGGTAATAACAGTTTCAGCGAAGATGAAGAAACGTAGAAATGCGACAGATGATTGTAAAAGTCTATCTCACGAGAAAATAATTCTAGAAAGACAACGATCAAGTTCATGACGAAATCAGAAGATTCTAATTTCAGTGAAAACAAACAATGCATGCATCGACCTGCGCAATCGCAAATGATTTTCAGCCATGTCGATTCAAGTCCATCATCACCAGTTCCGATCGTATCGCATAATCCAACATGGATCGTTCCATTCACAGTGACTTCACAAATGACGATGGTACCACAAACAGCGAATGGGTAATCTTTACAAACAAGCATTGATCATTCCATTTGCCTGTGATTTGCACGCCCTCGATTTCTTCTAGTCGATCCACTACTTCAGACAACATCAGTCACCAACGATATCGGTGGTTGATTAGCCACACATCACACAAGTTCCTACCAACTCAACTTATCAACAATCACTATTTCAACGAATGATTCTCCTTCCTTAACTAGAACCATTTGCTCAAGTCAACTATTTCCTGCTTACTCATTTCTCTCAGAATGCACCAGCAATGATTGCAAGACACCTATGATTAAATAACATCAACCTACAAATATTCTCTTACTGGTCATCTTTCAAACATGTAAATGAAGACGGAACGGACAGCTGCTCAATAAACTCGTCGTTTCGTTTCGATAGTACACGGATATTCCGCACACATCATTTGTGAATTCGCAAAATCCCTATTGAGATTCATGAATCCATGCTGAGATTTTGTCACACACCGAATCGTCAACGCTGACGAGATGTCAACGAACAGTGAAGCGATCAGTACACTCAACTACCTCTCTCCTACTTACTCATAACTATTTCAGATGACGCAGAAAACTTATTGTGAATTTTCACATTTCGCTTGTTTGTTGAACAAAAGTCTATTGAATGCAACAAACACACAAATGTAGTTTTATTCTGTTTAAATTACAAGTATAATCATGTGAAAAATTACGGTTCATTCGGAGGGTAAAACGATTCTTACATCTCCCACAAACACAACACGATCTTCCAACATCATGGTTATCATTAAATGATTTTCCACTGGTTTCAATTCCAATAGATATTTGTACAAACTGAAATTAGAAAAAAACAGAATGGAAGAAATATCGATTTTGTATGAGCTCAACGTGAATAAATGAATGAATATATACGAATAACAATCAATGTGTATATTTGCTCATTCATTGATAACATTATTATACTTCGGTAATAATCAATCAGTATTATTGATATTATTATTATTAATATTATTACAATCTGCTTTACAACAAGTATTGTTGTTATGTGTCTGATTCCCAGTGGCTTCCTGATATAGTTTCCAAATGAACTAATGAGTATAATAGCGTGTAGAATCAATGAAATAAAATGATCACCACATCATTCATATTAGATCGATATCCAAACACGACTTACAGACAACAAACAATACATTTACAAATCACATCACGATATTCAATGGACAGTTAGGGACGCAGTTGGACTTCTCAGATAACCTGGCTGCTCCATCGCACACTCAACAACAAATGCCAGAGAAGACAACCAACAATCACCACATCATTCATATTAGATCGATATCCAAACACGGCTTACAGACAACAAACAATACATTCACAAATCACATTAAAAATCAATCAATCAGTCAAATAATGTTGTATATACTCGGATGATTTTTTCGGGATGACACATCTGTAATAGCTGGGATCGACACTCTGTTCACGTGTCTTTTTAGTGAATTTATCCTCAATATGTTTTGTTCTCTCTTCAATGTTAGGATAATCTGCGAACGCTCCTCGAACTAGCCAAACTGCAAATGATTTCATCTCTTCCGGCATATTACTTTGTAAAACTACACACATGACGAGAAAGCAATGTAAAATTTAATTGAATTTCCGGATGAAACCACTAAGACTGAAAAATCTATGTATTTATATCTACAGAGACAATGAGGTGACCGTAACAAATTGATTGGATATTCATTCATGTTAGTAAACCTTATTTATATGTCTATTTGGAAATATCATTGTACTTTATTAGGTAGACTTTTATGTGTAAATAGCAGTGTAGATTGCGCACTACACACAACTACAAATTGAATGATCTTTTTTGTCAACTTGCACATACACCACAATCACATGAGAATTTCATTGAACTTTTAACAGGTCCCAATATAAAATTGCTACAACGTATATTTATAAAGTACACAACTGTAGTATTTTCTCCATATATGTAAACAATGTCGTCACTCACACACACAGAATACAGAGAGAGTTGGCCAATCACAGAACCATATCATCAAATAAATCGTATTCTGAATCACATTCACATCACATCATTCAATTTAGGATTGGTTAAATACTTTCAATGCTTGAAATGCTCAACTGTACTAGCAAATTCAAACATTCATTGATTGATTTCATCTATGGATTATTTTTCACTGAAATTGATATCTTCAGTGTTTATAAGGTATCCAGTTAAGAATGTAACTCTGTACTTTTAATTATAATATTTTCAATTAGAGTTATGGAGATTAGTGCTTTTTACACATATTTGAAACCATCAATCAATCATGGTTAGACCACCATTAGAAACTTGGCGGCACTGAAAGATGGCCGTCTCGTCCTGGTATGGGACTCCTCAGCGGTGCGCATCCACGACTCCTGCTCCTCGCAGTATTCGAACCCGGGACCCAATAGTTTTAAAAACTCTTTTCACTTTTCTAACAAAACACTCGTTTATTATATAATGGTTATCATCGTTGAAAAATTCGAATTTTAAATCAAACAGTTGATCGATCGAGTGCACTTGAAATATGTAAGCATTCAATCGATATGCTCATCAATCCACAATGTACGTGGATTCGCTTCTGCATAGCTATCCTATTAGTTTTTTAAAAACTCTTTTCACTTTTCTAACAAAACACTCGATCAATGAATGGATGGTTTTCACAGTTTATTATTAAGACAATGTAAATTGATAGCAGAAAACAATGTAAAGGTGAATTTGTATTGAAAATATGTAATGATTTTTACAATCCAATCAGTTTTTCAGTTATTCAAGCTAAATTAATCAGAAAAATAGTGTTGATTCAAAAATGGAATATTTCCTAGAGGACAACGGACATATTATTGATGAAGAGATAATATTGTGTTTCCAAGTTGGTGAATGAATGTGTATACATATTTTACATGTGAGCAGTTGTGAGAAGACTGAGGCAGGCTCAATAGATTGTATTTGGCAAATTTACAATCTTAGTCAATTAAAAACGATAACATTGCATTGAACACCATTTTATTAGAAAATCAGTAAGAAATGCCTGTGTTTGACTCGGTTGAAACTATGATTAATTATATATAATTCTGCATATAATGTTTTCAATTGTTTCCATTTGTAGTTTGCCACACAGATGTTCATTGCCCGTGGAGAAAATCCAGATGAAGACTATCTCATTGAAGTTTCAGTTCAGTTAAATTCATTACGTCCACAAGATGTCCTGTTACGCGTGGAATACACCAATTTCCTTAATTATGAACGCAGCTGAAATTATTAAAGCGTTCTATTGAATTGATTGATCAGTTAGTGCCAGTACTGACAACAACACTGTCTTTCCTAATATTGTCTTAGTTTCGTAGACATAAAACAGATAACATTTTTTTTAATGATCTGACTTGTTTATTATATGTTTTACCAACTGAACATCTTTCTATCGATTTAATAAATCAATGGATTAGAAATTTTCTGAAATTTATTCTGGTTCTCTCTCTTACTTTGATTGAATATGTAAGAATGAACAATAAACTAAACTGTGAAACTATAAAAGTACCATTTTTATCAAAGGTAGATTATTTAAATAAATTATGTTACTGTTAAGTAATATACTGATCATAAGATTAAAAAAAAAATCACCATCTTGTTTTTCATTTCGTAAATTATAGTACTTACTTACGCCTGTTACCCCCAATGGAGCATAGGCTGCCCACCAGTTTTCTCCAACCAACTCTGTCCTGGGCTTCTCTCTCCAGTTCTGTCCAATGTTTGTTCATTCGTCTCATATCTTTCTCTATTTTTTTAATCAGGTACCCTTCTTTCCAATCTGATGGTACTTGTTCCTCATCCCAAATCTTCTTGAAGAGGATGTAAAATATTTTTGCAGTTGCTTCTACATCTGCTTTCATTGCCTCTGCTGGAATGTTGTCTGGTCCTGCTGCTTTGCCGCTCTTGATTTGTCTAATGGCCATACTGATCTCCTCAATTGTAGGTGCGACAATATTAATTGGGAGGTCTTTGGATGCTGCTTCGATGATGGGTGGGTTCAGTGGAGCTGGTCGATTCAATAGTTCCTTAAAGTGCTCTACCCACCTATTTCGCTGTTCTTCAGTGTTACTGATTACTTTGCCTTCCTTGCTTTTCAATGGTCGTTCTGGTTTACGATATTTTCCGGCGAGCTTCTTTGTTGTTTCATACAATTGTCTCATGTTTCCTTCTCTTGCGGCCTTTTCCGCTGTCATTGCTAGATCTTCCACATATTTTCGTTTGTCAGCTCTGATGCTCTTCTTCACTTCCCTGTTTGCTTCTGTATACTCGGCTTGCGCCTTAACTTTCTCTGCTCTTGTTCGGCTGACATTCACTGCTGCCTTCTTGTTCCTCCTTTCTTTAATTTTTGCAAGAGTACCAACAGAGGTCCATTCCTTGTCATGGTACTTCTTGTGACCCAGAACTTCGTGACATGTTGAAGTGATTGCCTCCCTAATCCCTTTCCAATTGTTCTCCAATGTTGCGTCCTCTCCATTGTGTAGATCCTGAAAGGCCTGGAACCTATTGGTGAGGGCTATCCTGAATTCGTTGAGTTTTACGGTATCCCGAAGAAAGGCCGTATTAAACTTCTGTGATGTTGTCTGTCTCGTTGTCCAGGGCTTCTTTAGTTTCAGTTTCATCTTGGCGATTAGCAAATGGTGATCTGAGGCTATATCAGCTCCTCTCCTGGTTCTCACATCCTCCATGGTCCTTCTGAACTTTTTGTTGATACAGATATGATCAATCTGGTTTTGAGTAGTGTGATCCGGTGAAATCCATGTGGCTTTGTGTATGCGTTTGTGTGGGAATATTGTGCCACCGATGACCAGTTTGTTGAAGGCACATAGGTTTGAAAATCTCTCACCGTTTTCGTTTCTTTCTCCCAGTCCATGTCGTCCCATGATGTCTTCATATCCAGTGTTGTCCATGCCAACCTTGGCATTCAGGTCTCCCATAAGAATCGTCAAATCCTTTGGTGAACATTTATCGACGATTGACTGCAGTCTTTCGTAGAATTGATCTTTATCGTCGTCATTGTAGTCGTTGGTAGGTGCATAACATTGGATGACGTTCATTGTAATGTCCTGTTTCTTTGTTTTGAAGGATGCTTTAATGATCCTGGGTCCATGAGATTCCCATCCTATCAGTGCCTTTTGTGCATGTTTGGACAGCATCAGTGCAACTCCTTGTGTATGTGAAGCGTTTTCCTGTTCATGGCCAGAGTAAAACAGCAGTTCCCCTGAAGCAAGTCTCAGTTGTCCTACCTGTGTCCAATGTGTTTCACTGATGCCGAGCACCTCGAGGTTGTATCTTTTCATTTCTGCAGCAACTTGAAATAGTCTTCCAGTCTCCCACAATGTACGAACGTTCCATGTACCTAAAAAAATGGTTGCTCTGGTTGTCAGAAGAGGCATCGGCCCCGTGACTTCCGAGGGGACTCGGCTTTCATCACGAGACGTCATAATTCTTCCTCCAACTCCCAGGGCAGAGTTAAAATGGTTTGAATTATTTTTTCTGGTTAGCGTTTTTTTGGCAAGTTAGTTTTTGACGGAATGGGGTCGCCAACCCTATGTCCAATCCTCCTCCTTTATCCGGGCTTGGGACCGGCAGAAGCCCCAAAGGTTCTACTGGCGGAGTTAAGAATAACAGTTAGTAAGATTAAAATTCCTACTTTCGAAATGAATGTGTATGTAAGTTACAAGATTACCTACAACTTATTTGAGTTGAAAAGATACAAGTTAAGCAAACATGAAATTTCCAATGAAGCTGTTTGCACCCAAAATAAGTAAAACACAATACACATGATTAGTAAACTGAAAAATAAATTACATAGTATTATACAATGAAGTACATCTGAAGAATACTACTAACCTGTCAGCCACCTGTTTCATTAGAGCACGTTTATATTTAACTGGCATTCGTATTTCAATCTTGTGTTCTTTTTCAATACGATATACACAGCTGGGGCCTCTGCTCGATACATGTGAATAAGGTTAGTTGTTATAGAAAAATGCTAACAAGTAGCTAGTTACTTAGTCGGTTAGTTAGTGAGTAAGTTCAGTCAGTCAGTCAGTCAGTCAGTCAGATGCAACGTAGAACTTTGTACGTAAGTACATCAGTTCATGTTGGCATACCACATCAGCACAGAGATGTAATTGTCAATTCAAATCCAATAGTAGAAGAGTTAGTAAGGGTATTAGAAGTAATCGGAGAGGTTAGAATGAGAAGATATTATTCAACAAGTATGATTCAGTGAGAAAAGTTTAGAAAGTCAAAACAAGAGGAGTTAAAGAATCAAGAAGATTAGCATTTGAGAGAACACAAACAATAAATGCACCGGCGCCATCGCAAACGATTTTGAGCCATGTCATTCAGGGTATCTAAACATCGATTATTATCATCTCGCGGACCTCAACCAAGTAGTCGACAATTACCGACATTGCTAAGTACACTTGTCAATGACTTCATGGATTTCTGCCATGTTTTGGTTTGGCCGCCCCTAACTTTCTTCCAACCTATTCCTACACTACAAAACAAAGCTCGACGAGGCAGTCGGTGGTTGGGCATACGCAACACATGTCCCAACCACCTCAACTGATGAAGTTTCAGCACTTCATCTATTGATCTGCTATTCCATGCCTAGCACCCTTTTCCTGA